TTGATGTTCTTTATCTGAAGATATTTTTTCTTTTGGAATTGTTATTCAGGATGCAAGAAATTTTTAAATTATTCTTCAAATGCTAAAACACAAATACACATACATACACATATACACACACAAACACACACACACACACTTGAATTGACTTTCTTAATTACGAAGTTGTTTGGAGAAAACAATGTAAGGGTTAGCAAATTCAACACCTATCACTTTCAACTTAATAAACAATTAAAAACCAGTCAAATTCACTCCAATAAACAATGTTCAAATTGACAGACATTTATCAATCACCAATCACCTTCAATGTTATGCGCATAATCATCAACACATTCATCAACAACATCTTCAACCCCCAAAAATAATGCTTGGGACAGACAAACATTCCTTTCCAACCTCAATCACCAAAAACTTTAAAAACTCGGTAAGCTCACCTGGCCTAATGAAGTTGGCAGGCGAAGGAGGAATTCCAAAGTAATTGGTGATGTTTGGGGCCGAGAAGTCGTCCATTTCATCATTGAGGACTATGCCGGTTTGGACAGAGCGGATTCCTGCACCAAAGCTGGAAAGGGAAAATGAATATGAGAGAATATGAGTGGGAAAAAGGCAGAGAGGGAGGTGGGAGGGAGAGAGAAAGGCAGAGAGGAAGGGAGGGAAGGAGGGAGGGAGGGAGGGAGAAAGGTAGAGAGACAGGGAGGGATGGAGGGAGAAAGGCACAGGGGGAGGGAGGGAGGGAGGGAGGGAGAGAGGGAGGGAGAGAGGGAGAGAGGGAGAGAGAAAAGGAGGGAGGGAGGGAGAGAGAAAAGGAGGGAGGGAGGGAGAGAGAGAGAGAGGGAGAAAGGCAGAGAGAGAGGGAGGGAAAAGGTAGAGAGATAGGGAGAGATGGAGGGAGAAAGGCACAGGGGGAGGGAGGGAGGGAGGGAGTGAAGGAGAGAGGGAGAGAGAAAAGGAGGGAGAGAGGGAGAAAGGCAGAGAGAGAGGGAGGGAGAGAGGGAGGGAGGGAGAAAGGTAGAGAGATAGGGAGAGATGGAGGGAGAAAGGCACAGGGGGAGGGAGGGAGGGAGATAGGGAGGGAAGAAGGCAGGATGGGAGGCACAGGGGGAGGGAGGGAGGGAGAATAGGGAGGGAAGAAGGCAGGATGGGAGAAAGGGAAGAAGAGAGGTGAAAAAAGGTGAGAAACAAGGGAAGGCACAAATAAGTCTGAGAGAAGGAGAAAGGCAAAGAGAGTGAGGGAGGGAGGAAGGGAGAGGTGGAAGGACAGCAAGAAGGGAGAAAAGGAAGGAGAGGGCAGAGAAAAGGTGAGAAGCAAGGCAAAAGCAAGGTGAGGTGTGGAGAGGAGATGGAACAGAAAGAGAAACTGGGGGGGGGGGGGGATAAAAAGATAAAGAAAATATAGAATGACAAATTCCACATGGAGGAAAGAGAAAGAAAGAAAGAAAGAAAGAAAAAGAAAAAGAAAAAAAAAACAGATGCAGATACTTACTACAAGTTGACTGTGCTAGTAACTGAGACAGCATCACCATTGGGGGCAAGCAAAGAGAAATGCGCAGTTCCATGATCATCTGGATCGACTGTGACAGCTCCGTAGTGCTCAGGGTCTTGGAATGTGCGGTCGTCAGTGATCTGGCTGTGAATGTATGCTGCGTAGTCGTCTGAGGTCAGGTTTTTGGCGAGCTGAAAGAAGTTGATGTTTCAAAATCCTTTCTGAGTTGTAATAGGTAATTCCTTGGGTGAAGCAATCTCTCCTAATAATGACATAATATTTACACAATCACTGTACAGTTAGAACATTAAATTTCTAAAATCTAAGGTAAACAATAAGATCTTTCTCATTATCACATCATCATCTCCATTACAAAAACATAACTACCACTCTCCCTACCTCAGTCATATCTACAAAATCTGCATCTCCGAGCTCAGTCCTCTTTGCGTAGGCCCACTTCATGGCTTCTGTGATGCGATGGGTTGTCAGGACAATATTGGAGTCATCAATGCTCTCTGGGGTAAGTTCATACTCATCCAGGATGTTAAGAATGAAACCCAGAATGAGACCTGAACCAGGGGGAGGCACAGAGAACATGCTCATCTGGCCATGCTGCAGCGTGATGTTCATGGCTTCCTTCCACACGGGTCTGTCGGAGGTGTGATGGGTTAAGGTCCAGTGTACCAATGCTTGGTCAGATAACACACATACATACATACATACATACTCACATGAACGCACGTGCGCGCACACACACACACGCACACACACACACGCACGCACGCACACACACACACACACACACACACACTGTCTCTCTCACAAATATATAGACCTCAAAATCATATACTAACTTGTACATCCTGAGGTCCTCCTCAGTAACAATGCCCCCAAAGCTCTGGATATCCTGAGCGAGCTTAGCTGCCAACTGACCACTATATAGGGCATCGGGATCCTCCTGCAGGTCTCTCAGGGTCTTTGCAAGCTGGGGCCTCTTCAGTGTGTCCCCCTCCTTGTACACATCGCCTGTCTCCGGGTTAATAAATACGCTGGAAGAAGGAATGAAATTAAAACTATGAGAGAGAGGAGAAGTCATGAATTTTGGAAATAACATATTTTTTCCTTTATTATATGTGACTGTCTAAAACATAAACATACAAACTGCATTTAGGATTCTTTCTCCAAGAAGAAAATATACATAACAGATCACAATGCCTAGACACATTACCTCATGCTTGGTTCCTTCTTGATATCCTCTGCGTTAAACTTCAGAGCACGTGCCATATGCCAGTTGACAAAATGCCCTTCTTCACAGAGCTTGATGGTGGGTTCCAGGAGCTCAGCCCACGGCAACTTTCCACCAAATCTCTCGTACAATTCACGGTATCCCCGGAGCTCTCCAGGGACAGCCACGGCAAGCCCTCCTATATTAATCAAAAAGGCATTAGTAATACATTAGACATTTCCTATCCTGTGAAAAGAGGAGGAAGAGGTTCTTCTGTGCAAAAAATATGATAGATATCAATTAGGGAAGGTCTTACTAAATTATTTCATATATCCATGTAGGCAGATGCACACCTACCTCACTAATTCACTCATTAATACAAATTAATCCTTAAATTATCAAATTCTCAAGTATACTAAAATCAAATAAAAATCAGCCAGTGAGAAAATAAAAATCAGCCAGTGAGATTCAGCAAAGAACTCTTATCAATAGTCTTTTATTATCAACCACAGAAAGAGAAATTTTCACACTCTCTTATACTTATCAAATATGTGATACTGACAAGTTGTTGTGACAATTATTTGATAACTGACAGATTGATGATGATAATTATCTGATAACTGGTTGGTGATGGAATTTATTTCATATACAACAATAGCACTTGTGTCAATTTCAGTCAATCACCCTCTAGCTGCATCTGTACCCTGTTGCTTTAATTGCTTTAGTGTCAAGCACGCAAACTATACTAGTGGTAATCAGATAAAATCATGCAGACAAAAATAAAATAAATAAATTCATTTTTTTTAATCATCATTTATAATTTGAGTAGCATAAATAGTGTCTAGATGGAAAAAGTACCAAATAATTTTCCAAATAGGCATTTTTAGTGTAATATTCCATTTCCATAATTTCAAAGTGCAACAGTCATTTCTATACTTATGTACACTTTGCACTTGCATAAGGAGGCTTCAACTGTTAATGATGTATTGACAAACAATAATCTATCAGAAGTAATAATGAATATGATTAAATTTGCCGCTAAAAATGCTCTGCAATGCCTACCTTCTTCATGCATTAGGTTACTGTGCAACTAATTATCATTAATTCTTTTTAATGAATTCATGCCATCAAAAGAAAAAAAGAGGGGGGGAACATAATCACCTAATATGAGATGAAAAAAAAAAAAAAAAAAAAAAAAAAAAAAAAAAAAAAAAAAAAAAAAAAAAAAAAAAAACAGTCAATTAGAGAATATCTAAATTATAAAAATGATAATGATGTTGAATATTAACCCAAACCTGCTGATGGGCATGGGATGTGTGTACATGCACTTGCAGACATGCACTTGCAGAGCCATCTATGTGTAGAAACACACACACACACACAAAAAAGAACACAGCATTTTCCCAGTGGCATTGGGTTAAAAAAACAAGCTTAAGCAAAGGCAGGGGCATGCTTTGCAGTAGGTGGACGGCACTCGAGACTCACCTTTCAAACTGGATCTTTTGATGCCCACCATTTTCCCTTAGCTAAGGGGAGTAAATGATGAGTAAATTTTGGGGAACCTATTTCGTTGCTCGTATAAATTTTTGGACAACTTTTCACATTTTGAGGGAAAGCTTTGCAAATCTGCCTCTGAGAACATTTATGTTGTCAACAATAATGACAGGACAGAAAAAAAAAAAATTCATGGGGGAAAAAACAAATACTGACACTTATACAAAATTCAGGACATTAAACAAGTCTGTAAAATTCACTTTCATAAAAACAGAAACAAATCCAGTACAATAAAAGAAAGACGAGAAAAGCAAAGAAAAGAAAAAAGAGAAATGAGGGAAGAGGAGAGGGGACAAGGAAGAAGGAGAAGGTGTAAGTGAAAAAAGAGAGAGAGAGAGAGAGAGAGAGAGAGAAGAGAGAGAGAAGAGAGGAGAGAGAGAGAGAGAGGGTGGGTGAGAGAGAGAGAAGAAGAGAAGAGAGGGAGAGAGGGAGAGAGGGAGAAGAATGAGAGTAAGGGAGAGTAGGAGAGAGGGGAAAGAAAAGAAAAGAAAAGAAAGAAAAAAAAAAAGAAGAAAAAAAAAAAAAAAAAAAAAAAAAAAAAAAAAAAAAAAAAAAAGAAAGAAAAGAAAAGAAAAGAAAAGGAGAAAGAAAAAGAAAAGAGAGAATCACCGAGCCAGTCGTACCTTTCTGCGCCAATTCCCCGTTCCCACCATACATGTCCTCATAAGCTTCCGAGGGTGCGCTCTCCCTGGCGTTCAGAGAGTAGGCTTTCCTGTCGACCGGATCGTAGTAGGTCATGAGGAACCCGCCCCCGAGACCCATAGACTGAGTGTTGATGACGCCCACGCAGAATAGTCCCGCTACTGCTGCATCTGCTGCTGAGCCGTTCCTCTTCAGTATATCCCTGTGGAGAGGTATGTGAGTATTTTTTTTTTTCTTTTCTTTTTTTTCTTTTTTTTCTTTTTTTCTTTCTTTCTCTCTTTCTCCCTCCTCACTATATTCATGTTTTTCACTCTTAGGAGCTGGAGTTAATTGGCTATTGGCTGTTACTCTGCCTTTACTCTTACATTTTTCGCATATGTTTTAGTCACTTTAGCTGAGCAACGTGTAAAGCTGAGTAACTTATGACATTAAGTATAATCCAATTTACTTGATAATATTTCACAACACACAATGAGAGAGAGAGAGAGAGAGAGAGGGGGTGGGTGAGAGAGAGAGAGAGAGAGAGAGAGGGGGTGAGAGAGAGAGAGAGAGAGAGAGAAGAGAGAGAGAGAGAGAGAGAGAGAGAGAGAGAGAGAGAGAAGAGAGAGAGAGAGAGAGAGAGAGGGGGTGGGTGAGAGAGAGAGAGAGAGAGAGAGAGAGAGAGAGAGGAGAGAGAGAGAGAGAGAGAGAGAGAGAGAGAGAGAGAGGAGGGGGTGGGTGAGAGAGAGAGAGAGAGAGGGGGTGGGTGAGAGAGAGAGAGAGAAGAGAGAGAGGAGGGGGTGGGTGAGAGAGAGAGAGAGAGAGGGGGTGGGTGAAGAGAGAGAGAGAGAGGAGAGGGGGGGGTGGGGGAGAGAGAGGAAGAAGAAGAGAGGGAGAGAGGGAAAAGAATGAGAGTAAGGGAGGTAGGAGAGAGTGGGAACAGAACAGAAAGAGAAGGAGAAAAAAATGTATACACATTTATACACACCAGCATCACAACAAGCAAAAAACAGAAAAAACAAACTCACGTAGCAATCTGCGCACTAAGTAACGGCGTGCCATAGGAGCTAACCGCAGCTTGTCAAATGTTCCAAGCCTCTGTCTCTGACGAGGAGGTTCTGTGGCCCTCATAATGGAGCCTCCCTTAGCTCTCTCCCAGGATTCACACTGGCCCTGAGCTTTGGGCTGGTGCGGGATTCTATTGAAAATTACTACAATATGATAAGCATGATGAAGGTTGATCATGATAAGTCATTAAAAGAAATACTAATCATCACAATTTAGTTATATCTGTAAATATTACTTGAAAACTAATCTTCTCAGTCAGGTTATGGAAATACACAAAATAATAAATCCAAGGCAAATAAGCTACAATGAAATAAAAATGTAGAATAAGAATAAGAAGAAGAAGAAGAAGGAGAAGGAGAAGAAGAAGAAGAAGAAAAAAAACAAACTATTTCCTTAAAAAATTCCTAACAATCTACTCATATTCCCGACAACTTGTTGCCTTCACATCTGCACCTTACATCTTACTCCTGACAATTCTGTATCTCAATCATGCATTTTAAATCCCTATCAAACCGTTTCACCTTCACACAATTATCTTACATCTATCCTTTATCTACTTATCTCGTATCTTTATCTAGCAATTTTCCTCTGCCCCGTCTATACTAACGAAATCTACCCTTTTAATACTCATTTTGAAGAACTTACTGCCACTGCTATAGGTTGGTTTGGCCTCCTGTTTTGACTGTAGGTTTCGAGTTCAGCCCTGGGCGAGACCTGGGGACGGAAATCTGATCGTTACATTGGAAGGCAGAATAAAAGTATATTATACTATATAGTATATATATATATATATATATATATATATATAATATATGATATATAATACCCACACACAACACACACACACACCACACACATACATAAGCTTATATATATATATATATATTATATATATATATATATAGATATTATATACCAAACATATCATATACATATATACCATATACACACACACCACACACATACATAATAGTAAATAAATAAATAAATAATAAAATAAATCAATCTATTATCTATATATACATACATACATGCTATATAATATATATATATATATATATATATATATATATATATAATCTATATATATATATATATAACTATCTATCTATCTATCTATCTACTATCTATCTATATACACATCCACACACACACACACACACGCACACAGCTATATACTGATAATAAAAATAATAAAAAAATAATTAAAAAAAATGTTATTCCACATTAATATTGCCATTTCAGACATGAGGAGGGGGTGGGTGCACTCACCAACCCGAGGGGGGGAGGCCCACGGCATGGCTCCCACACAGCACACTCCCCACCCGCATGTTATCAGCTGCTTTTTGGTTAGTCTAGCCTGTTGGAGGTGGGGGGTGGGGAGGATAAAAAAAGAAAATTAAGATTGATAAATCATATATAATTGTAATAACTTTTATTATGTGATTTTGGAAACCTTTTCAAAAGTGAAAATATGATTTTTTAATTTTTTTTATTGCATGGAAATTGTCATTTGTGAATTATCATATGTAAGGAATCTTATGTCTACTTATAAGCACATTTTTTTTTCTATAAATACATTTTCACAGCTTATGATACTACACACAATTCTATCCAAGAAATGCTGGGTACAAAAAATACAAACCTTTGCTTCCCTACATATTATCAAAAAATATCAAATAAGAAAAATAATATTATACAGAAAACCAGTGACCATAAACCAGTTCAGATCCTCATACACGCACACCAAACATAACCAAATCAACAAATCGTAATCATGAATATTTGATAATCCGTCCACACATTTACAGAACGAATCAGGTACATTTCTCTATTATCTTGAAACCGCAGAATATAAATCAGTACATCTGTCTTGTAATTCTTAACGGGATATCAAGCAACAAGACACATATCTGTTCTTCAAAGCAAATAAAGTTTTAGATTTTTAGTGCTCTATGACAGGAAGCACCACAAAAAACTTCTTGGTATTAACCGGTGATTTTTACAAGGAAGTTCTGGAGAGTAATTAACTGACTCTCAGGCTAGTTCTCCCCAACACCACCGTTTTTATTGTTTATACTAAAATAAAGTTTTTAAAAATCATGAGCCTGGACTTTTTAATGCACAATTTGAAAATAACAGAAATCCTAAAAATGCATAACCTCTCCTCTTGGGATCTGTCTAACTTTTGGTACAACCGAGTACGAACTCATAACTGCTCTTCACAAGGTAATCTTGTTTAGGAAGGTATAAGTGGGGGATGACAGCAACCACATCACA